ACATCAGACCATATCTATTTCAAATCCACTGAAAAGACATTTTTCATAATCGAGAAGGTCCTTTCACGGGATTTGAACTGCATTGGAACACGACAATATCACATCCACTGAAATGAACTTAATTTTTATAATCAATAAGGTCATTTAAATGGTTGTGAAATAGACATGGTCCAATGCAGTTCACATCTAGTAAAAGGACCTTATTAATTGTGAAAAAGGTCCTTTCACTAAATGTTAACTGCATTGGATCATGACTATTTCACATCTATTTAAAGGACCTTTCTCATAATCGAAAAACAGTCCTTTCACTGGATGTGAACTCCATGGCCATTAGACCCTACATATTTCAATCCATTGAAACGACCTCTTTCATTATCAAAAAGGTCCATTCGCTGGATGTGAACTCCATTAGACTAGTATTATTTCATATCCACTGAAAGAAACTTTTTCATTATCAAATAAAATATTCTTTCAGCTTGTTTTATAAGACATTCAGTCCAGAACTGGATTAATCTGTACATTGAATTCTTCACGTTAATACAGACTCAACTGTTAATGATTTTTTCGATCAAGCTACAAGTGGTAGAAAATGGAAAAATAGCTTGCAAATGGGTTCTAAACGTAAAGCATTCAAAATACATGTAATGCCGGTGTTTAGTATGTACGTATGCATTATACTTTTTTGGAAATTTCAGGTGATGGGAGGCCATACAGAACAGCATTACTGACAGCAGTCGAGTTTGGAAATGATAAAAGCATGTACCAATTAAGCGTTCACAATCTTTTAGGCGAGAAATATTTTCAAAACAACCCCAAGAAAAATGTTTTATGAAGTCCAATAAAAATGGTGGCCTTAAAACTGACATAGAGCAACAGTTAATGTTTGATGGGTGTAGTACCATAGTAGCATGTTGTGTCACACTACCTATATTACCTCTACCTTAATACCTTATTTATTTTTTATTTTGATATGAAGGAGAATGATATATCGCGATGAACTAAACGCTGATGATATTGCACCACCCCTCACAATGTCACCAGTAATACCTGCGCCCACGGTTAGTTTAGTCATCCTGTATAACTTTTTAAGTTGTAATGTTTTTATGTAGCATGAGTTTAGATGTATTATTTATTAAAGAGCACGAAGCTCAATACCCTTGTAAACTTTCAGTGAACAAATAGTAGTAAGAAAAAAGAAAAATCTTGTCAATCTTTGATATAGTGGGCTCTATTACTTGAATTTAAGTTGTCCCTAATGATAGGGCTAACTGTTTTGACGCTTCCTTGAGCTATCGTTACAAGTATCCTCTTTTTATTGATAAGTTAAGAGCTCCTCCCGTGGATTTCTTCCCACTAATATTGAAACCTAGTCTTTAATGAGTAGATATGAAATACTGGTTCTGCATCGGGATCTTTTTCGGATCATCAGGGTCTGTCTCAGATCCATGGATTTTGAATCCACTCTGTTCCGGATCCGTTGTTATCAGTGGATCGGCTTTCATCCGTCTGTAGGGGTTAATTCGTTCCGGAGTTCATCGCGCCGGCCAGTGGAATCGAAAGCGGTGACGTCACATTCACTTTTGGGCTCTTTATACAGAGAGAAATTGTGTTTTTGTAGCTATATGTTTTTGTGTAATCTTAGCTATTGTGAGATCTAGTTTTACTCTCTTCATTAAAACCCTACAAGTATGATCTAAATGGAGGTTTATCCGAATATCGTCAAGGTTTGCTGCATGAATACATTAAATATTGGCCACAAGTGTTTTTCACTTCGTAATTGGGACGCCCATATGGGCTATCGCATGAACCTTGAATTCCTCACCTGTCGTTTTGCTGAAATCTGATCTGGGGGCAGGGTCGGTGTATAAAGTAATACAACTTGTGTGTACTTACATTGACCCATTGTCGTGCGCAAACCCCTGTTAGTTAAATGCAGAGAAATAGACATTAGAATGCAAGGGAATATGACATATGTCATATTCCCCCTTCATACTAATGTATATTCCCCCTGCATATTCAATTTGTTCGTTAGCCCCAAAATCTTCACTGGAAGATTTCAAAGCCGCTCTCAGTTGGGAATTGGGCGAGGGGTTATGCGATATATTCTACCGAGAAGAACAGACCTTGTTTAAAAAATAATGGAGCGGAATGATTTGGAAACTCTATAGAACAAAGCTATTGCTTTGCGTTTGAGCCGTACCATCACGTGATACTGACCGACTGACCGTGCACAATGAACCAAAGTAAGTATGGCTAAAAATACTCATTTCCTTATTATTTTCAGGTATGAACATTTTGAAAATGAAAACTTACATTCGATGACCACAAACCACCCGGATGACATATTTCCGCGCAGATACAATGAAGTTACTAGATGATAAATGAGAAAGCGTAAAAGAGGCAATTTCCTTTTCAATAAACAATAAATATTAATCATATAGGATTAATCAATAGATAATAATCATTTTGTATAGAACGGTCTGAACCCAGGTGAATGAATGTTAATCGAAGTATTATATGACCAATCTGACTTTATTCTTCAGTTGACTCTGAAGATGACTTCCGCTCAGGTTGTTGAAATGTCAGTCACATCAAACAGTCCTTCTCAGGACTACATCCACCCGGATGATCATAATACTTCGATTAATAATCATATTCCCTAACACTATGATCAAACGGAATAACTTTTCCTTGCCTGTGCACAGTCAACGTCCTACAACAATGGAAAAGTCGAACAAAAACCTAGACTGACTAATAGGTTTCTAAACCACACCGCTCCACTAACTATGAATTGAGCGGTAAAAGAAGAATTCTAGGATTGTAATTCAGATATTTATTAGTATTAAAGTGGCACTTAGACAAAAATCGCTCCAAAATTAAAACTCTTTCATCCTTGGAACTTTGCTGAAAACAAATCAAAAATATCTTTCTGATATTCGAAAGAAAAGTGCCAAAAGCTTTACGATATATTTTCGTCCGCCATTAATTTATTGTTACAAGAAATATGCAAAAGAAGAATGGGTCGAGTAACGTATGACGTCATACATTCAACCCAAACCAAAACATTAGTGGCCAATGTATGTGCGGACTGCCAAGTTCGTAAAATTCGGTTTATCTGGTTTATTCAGAAAAGATATAATATTTCATTCGATTCCCAAGGTATTATATAACCAGACAATGTCTAGGCGCTGAGTTGTTTTCAGTTGCAGTAATACTGACGATCCCAATTCGGGAATTTCAATGCATCTCTCTCCTGTCAAGGAGACAGAGTTGGACGCAAAAATCAACTTTTCAAGATATCTTTAAATACAAGGGCAAGGGGCAATCCCACAATTTGGATCCGCGAGACATCCCACACACACACACACACATACACACACACAAATCTGCGAGCTGAGTGACAGCTGTCGCGCGAGTAATAAATAAGAAACTTTGATTTTTAGAAGATATGTATTAGTACAAACATCAAACCAAGAGCAATAACTGGTATAAATTCGAAAATAATCCAGCAAACAGAATATTGTTAACGCGACGATTGAAATTAAAAAGTTCAGTTTGGTGATCACGAATCTGTATCAAAACACGTTAAGTATATCTATCAAATAGCTGGGCGTCAGACCATGGCCATTTGTCGTCTTGTATAATTGGACTGAAACCTTTCATAAGCGAGATTTAAACACTCAGTATCTTATGTCCTTTTTAAATTATTTATCTAGTTATTCTTCTTAGAGCATTGTCACATCGTCTAGTATCAAATATCTTGTATGCTATTAAATTTTATCACTTGAAAAATATATCTGGGACACTAGAACGTCGTCAAATAAAACACTGCTCGTCTATCTCGTTAAATGATGCGTTCTCAAGCTTGCCGAAAGCTGACATGAAAATAAGAAAGAACATAATTAGAATCAGTTTTCCAAGTGATTGAAATGCATGGCAGCTAATAGCTGTTAAAACGGCTTTGTTCTTTCGTCATTTCCGTATACGACCCATCGAAATGACAATTTGATTGGAAACCAACTTTAAAAGCATAACCTGGACCTTTACCATTGAAAGTTTATAATGGAAGTAAGTGTTTTTAGTTTTTAATGGAAGTTTTTGTTTTATCTTTTTTTAAATTTAAAGGTGAAGATCATTTAAAGTTTCAAGTTTTAATGAAAGGATGTCAACTTTAAAAGCAAAACTTGAACAGATTTTGCGATTGAAAAGTTTAGAATGGAAGTTACCGCTTTTATCTTTTTTGTTAGATTTAATGAAGGGTTGTACGTCACCTGCCACCTTTTAAAGCAAAAAACTGAAATTTTACCATTGAAAGTTTAGAATTGAAGTCAGTTTTTTTAGTGGAGGAAGGAGGGAGGGTTATTTAATTGTTGGTTTAGAGCCAGAAGAAAATAAGAAGAACTTATCTTATTATACAGATGTTCTTATAGGAACTTTGTTATATATCCCACCCGGTTGGCTCAGTTGGTAAGAGCACATGTGGTATCCTCTATGATCAAAGTTGATGGGTTAATTCATTGATATATTCATCAGAACAAGAACAACTGAGAAGGTAAACTTGCCAGTCTATGTTTTTGGGTCTGCGAGCTACGGAGAGTCTGCTAAGAAGGATAACTTGAAAAACCTGTCGGTCGTAATAGTAAAACAGCCGGAAATAAGCGGACCGTAGGTGAATGAAACTAGACTAAAACAGCTGCGCGGGAGACTACAGAAATGAAATTTGAATGATAAAAAAAGGCAATGAATGCTATTGACAAGCACTTTACATTAATGTTGAGAGGCCATTGTCAAATTTCGAAACTTAATATATACATAATCAATCAGAACATCTGTCGAAAAAGACATATAATTCTATTCCGGTCATATTGATGAAGGTTTTAATTTTGAGCCATGCTTCTATATAAGTAGTCTCGATTTTTAATGCCATGTTAAGCATATCCTTCATATAACATTCGTACCCAAAAGCTGAGGGATAAAGGTCGATGGTATTGTGGTCCTGCATGCTTCGAGAGTCAGTTAATGGTCGTCTTCAAGTGATCATGATGGATGTTGGCGCCAACAACTCCGTCAACAATTCGACATCATTCTCAAGAAAATACCTTTTTTTGCCTTTTGATGGTCGTGTGAAGACGGTTATGTTTATTGCGATGGGTGTTCTTTGTGTCTATGGGACCGCAGCTAACTCACTGGTCCTCTACCTCAAGAAGAAGCAGAGAGATARACWAAGAAATCCGAGAAAGCCTTTTTATCGAAATTTGTTGGCAGTTTTTATTCAAAATTTGTCGGGCTGTCACATTCTGTTCTGCAGCATAGCGTTCCCTGCACAAGTGATGTTAAACTTTATCGACGTTACGAGCAGCAACTGGCTGTGTAAGCTGTCATGGTTTCTTAGACTCCTTTTTCCAATCATAACTCTAAACCATCTTTTGGTACTAGCCATCGAGATCTACTTGTCTATAGTCCATCCTCTCGTGGTGCCTTCTGCTCGTGTCGCCAAGAGGCTAGCAGTGGCCACCTGGGTTGCTGGAGGTCTTGTCGTACTTATGCCAAGCGCTACGTTTACCTGGAAGCTCCAAACCACTGGACATCTCAGCTACACTCTGATGTGTCTCATCGACAATACGGTTTTCGTATACAAACTACTAGTCCTGGTCTTCGTTGTAATAAATATAATACTGCCGACCCTCGTTTTGGTTTTTTTAACATACCGCATTTTCACATATTTGCGAAGGAAAGACGCTTCGCGGGTTTCAAATCTCCATTCGCAGAGGAAAGTGCCTGGCAACAGCAATGCAAGAGCGATTGTAAATCTAATCTTAATCTTTTTCTTGCCGTACGGTCTATTTTTGTTTGCATCGATCTCGAAATCAGCACTCAAGACTGTCCAAGAAGATTTCGCAATGCAGTACTTATTACTGCTTGTAAGCAGTGTGTTGGCGTATTCAAATGCGGCTATTTGTCCCACCATCCTRTTAATTAGACAGCCTGATCTTCGACAGTCTTTCAAATATAATATCAAATCCAAGTTCATTTCTTTAAAACTGAACCGACTCAAAGTACCACCCAAATCTAGTGCGATTATTGAAGTCAATGTACAAGCAGAAAGGAATATGTTTGCCGATTCAGGTTTACAAAAACAACTTGAAATGGCTGAAATGTCAAGTTTCACAGATATGAGAGATGCAAGAGCTAATAAGTGGAATATTAGCTAAGGAATAGGATTTTTATGTTCCATCTAACTTTCATTTGTTCATGTTTTCATAATATGATTAATGTTTTATAATAGCTATGGCTATATGGTTGCCATTTATTGATATGTGATAGCAGTCACGTGGTTCATTGTCTGCGGACATACATCATTTTCAACAATGCCCCCTCTGAAGTTTACCGGCCTTGTTCACGTGATGTAGTCATTGGAAGCACAGTTGCCTTGAACATTCAAACCATCAACTGGTAGCTCTTTTGTAGCTGTTTTATACCGTTTAAAAGGTAAGGATTACGTTATATTATGGACTTATTAGCTCCAAATGTTCTCATTTTGCGACATTCATTTACGCGTCGACTAAAAGTCGATCTTTCTTCACGCTTCGATCCTCGAGTTGATGAGCATTAAATAATAATTACAATTGATAAAGCGCTTATCCAGGGCTGCTCTAGGCGCTGTGAAAGATGAAATACAAAATAATACAAAAATGATGATTACGATAATCAGAAAAATAATAAAGGTCACACATTAAAAGCTAATTTAAACAAATAAGTTTTCAAAGAAGTCTTGAATGATGACAAGCTCTCAGAGTTCCTGATTGAAGATGGAAGGGCATTCCAGAGTTCAGCTGCAGATACGGAGAAAGAACGGTAACCATAAGATTTCAGTTGGTACTTTTTGTGTTCAAGAAGAAAAGCAGAAGAAGAACGTAGGCGTCTTGGTGGAGTATAACGAGAAATCATATCAGAAATGTAGGATGTCTTGAATGATGACAAGCTCTCAGAGTTCCTGATTGAAGATGGAAGGGCATTCCAGAGTTCAGCTGCAGATACGGAGAAAGAACGGTAACCATAAGATTTCAGTTGGTACTTTTTGTGTTCAAGAAGAAAAGCAGAAGAAGAACGTAGGCGTCTTGGTGGAGTATAACGAGAAATCATATCAGAAATGTAGGATGTAGCCAAGTCATAAAGTGATTTGTACGTGATAAGCAGAATCTTGAATTTGTTGCGGTCAGCTACAGGAAGCCAGTGCAATTTGATTAGGACAGGAGAAATGTGATCATATTTATGAGTGTACGTAATAGAGCGAGCAGCGGCATTTTGTACAGATTGGAGTTTAGAGATGAGATGACTGGGAAGACCAAAAAGAAGACAATTATATTGGTCAATCTTGGATGTGACGAAAGCATGAATTAGGGTTTCAGCAGTCTTAGCAGACAGGAACTTTCTAATTTTAGCAATGTTGCGAAGATGGTAGAACGCAGACTTAACAAACAATTAACATGAGGAACCATAGATAAAATAGAGTCGAAGATGACACCAATGTTCCTAGCTGATTCAGAGGGTTTAATCCTGTCGTCTCCAAAAAGCAAGGTTGGAAGAGATTTTTGTGGAATATGTTTGGGGTACATTAAAAGGAATTCAGTTTTATCTTTGTTTAAGTTTATTTATCGTCATCTATTGATCAATGTCAGTTAAGCAGTTTTCGATCTTAGTCATTGTTGGATTCATATCAGCATTATCATTGCACGTAAAAGGTATGTAGAGTTGAGTATCACCAGCATACAGATGGTAAGACATGTTATGATTACATAGAATATCAGCCATAGGAGAGGTATAAAGAAGATACAGAATTGGACCAAGTACTGAACCTTGAGGAAAACCACAATCCAAGTCAACGGAATCAGACGAGCCACCATCTAAGGAGACATACTGAGAACGGTCAGATAGATAAGACTCAAACCACTTGAGTACATTACCACAGATACCAAATTTAGAATTAAGTCGTTTTAACAAGATACCATGGTCAACAGTGTCAAAGGCAGCAGACAGATCAAGGAGTAGAAGAACAACGCAATTCTCTAGCCTGCAGAGCAGGCGTTCTTTTGATGGATTTGAGAGGAGACATTGGGGTTTTGGGCTTCCTGTTTCGACAAAGGGCCCGCGAGAAAAATGGGACCTAGCAAAAAAAGGGAACGTGGGGGGAGAGGGAGGGGAAAAAAAGGAACGCCTGTCAGCATCCCTTGTTATTTTGAAAAACTCGTTCGTGGGCAAACGAAGGCTTCTGATTGGCTCGGTTTAAATATCTTTGATGGACAGCAATCAATAATATACCGATCGTGCGTTTGGACTAGCCATCAGGCCTGTCCCGTGATAAGGTGGACGACACTGAAGAATTTAAATTTATAGATTTATTCGAATCCAATGGCGGTTTTCGTTCGGCTTTGAACACGTTACCTTTGTTGTCTTCGATCAATCTCCCCCTCAAGGGACTCGATTTATTTTATTTATATATCCAGTAATCTTTTGCTTCCTTAGTCTTGGATAGGGTAGGAGTTTGAACGGCTTTACTTTTGACGATGTTATACAATTGGCCTAACTTTCTTATTTTCTTATCTCAAATATCGGCAAGGATAATCCGCAGACAATCTTTTCTTCTAGAAGGTTTGAACAAATTCTCAAATGACAGATATCCCTGTTTTCCTGGGTTAATTGGACCTCAGAAATTCACTTTAAACAGCAATTAAAAAATCGATAATTTTCATTCCCGCTAGCTAGCGGTAATAGAATAGCTATAAAATTGTTGCATGTTTTGACCTTTGATTGTTTATATCAGAAAGTGGTCTTTCACTATCGTTAAATTCATCACCTTTTGACAGCTAGAGTTTTGATCAAGCATATCTAATTAGGATGCGTGTATCAAAATAACAAAGGCTGCTGGCAGGCGTTCCCTTCTTCCCCTTCCCGCCCCCTCCCCCTTCGCTTCTTCATTGCTCGGTTTCAATTCTCGTTCGTTCCAAAGTTCCCCCAAAACCCCGGTTTTTCCCCAAACCCACAAGAAAGCCTGCTTTGCAGGCTACGCAATTTCGATTRTCAATGGCATGTAGAATATCATTTTGAACACGAACAAGAGCAGTTTCACAGCTAAGGAGACATTTGTAAGCAGATTGGAAGGGTTCATGAAGATCATTTATTGTCAAGTAGGTGTTAAGTTGTGTAGCGACAATCTTTTCAATCATCTTGGACACAGCTTTTAGATTTGAGATAGGACCATAATTTCGAGAACTTCGTGATTAAGGGATGATTTCTTGAGAAGTGGTTTTATAAAAGCAACTTTTAATGAAGGAGGAACATAACCATTTTCAAGAGAAGAGTTAATAATCTTGTAGATGACAGGCAGTAAGGTACCATAATAACCAACTAAAAGACTTAAAGGAAAAGGATCTAAACAGTAGGATTTCGCTAACAGCTTCTTTGTGATTACTGGTAATTCATCACAGGTAGTTGTTTTGAAGGAATCTAAGCTACAGTTAATTGTGGAATGGTCAAGTTCAGAAAAACGATTAAGTTCAGAACTAAGAGATGACATTTATAGCATTTCAGTCTGATCGGCAGTGCTATCATTTGCTTGGCAGTCGAACTGTGAGCTCCGTTCCGTTCCAATCCGATCCATTGCAGTCCATTCCAATTCATTCCGTTCCATTCCGTTCCATTCCGTTCCATTCCGTTCCATTCCACGGGGTGTTAGCGTTTATTTGCAAATTGTCA